ACAATATGGGGGGTATGCTGCAAATGAACCAGGGGGAAATCAGTTAATTAGGCGGCGAAAAGGCAATTGACGGAAGCACCCGCGCAGCACTCACCTTTTTGCCCGTGCACGTTTGGAAGTTTGGCAGGCAGGGCGAAGTTTTGCCGCAGTGACGTTGGTATAGCTGGAATCCCTGGCCTCCTCAAACTGCTGTTGGTCAAACAAACATGTACCCAACAGATGGAAACAAAGACCAACACCGGCGCTAAATTTTTAGCCACACCCAAATTGCTATTGATATTGTTGAGTTGGGTGTTCCTCATTAATTGGAAAGTCCAGGGGAAACCGGTTGGTTTCCAATCAAACCTTGCAATATAATCGTCTCTCTTTGAGACGGGCCTTTCTCAAGTTCTTACTTCTGAAACCATTTTGGTGTCCCTTTGGTTTCCTTCCCAAACCATTGAAACAGGGGGGTCCCTACTTTGACACGGGGCCCGGCTTATACGAAGCCAGGATCTTCGGGGAGATTTGGACGTTGTGCTCGCAGCAGTGCGCCAGAATGGCTTGGCTTTGCAGACGCTCGGCCGCAGCGGCCGCAGCTTCGGCTTCTTGTGTCAAGGAATTTTGACCCCCTAAAGTGGGTGGCTTCCTTCTTGCCTTGACTGCTACTGGGTTGGATCTTTGGACTTGAACTTTTTGGGAAATCAAGGGGTTTTCCACCCCAAAAAGTTAAACTTTTTGCAAGGGGGTCAGCAGCAACCAAGTTGCTGCCCGTTGAAACAAGCCCAAAATGGAGTAGCAACTCAAAAATACAAGCGCCTACAGGCAAGATGTTAGGCAGGTAGAAGGTCCGCGCATAATTGCGTTGTTGTTTGGCACCATTTGATGATCATTGCAGAATGTTGACATTTGGAAGCATGCTGTGCTTTCATTTTCCTGCAAATTGACATGGAACTGAAGCAACATCATGTGTAGAGGAAGCTCCTTCGGGGAACCACCTTTTGGGGTTCCAGCTTAATTGGCAGAGGAGTATGTGTGCCATAGCCATTTACTTGGGGCAACTAGGGATGGGCATTCATCGGGAATTGTGACCATGCCCCACAGCGATTTTGACCGTGGCACATATGGTTTCTGTTTTGAGAGACGCCCCTTTTGGCTTAAAGGTGAGTAGGCGGTCCTATTGGCTGGTCGTGTGGTTGGAAGGCCTAGGTACACCTTTATGATCATCTTGGTAAAGCCGAAAGTCAATAGATATTTATCACTTATCTAGCGGAAGCTTACCCATTCTTTCCAGGGATCCTTCTTTTCAGGGAACCCTGTTTTGTGTGAAAAGAAGCACGGTTGAAAAGAATGGTTGGGATCACCCCTGGGATGTTTGTGACATCCACAAACATGGCACCTCACAGGAAGCTCCTGACACTTTTCCATGATTTGGGGTAACGCCAAGTCAATAGGCTTTGATCACATTGGATTCCAAGCCCCTTGACCCCATATTACTCAACCCCAGTTTTAAAAAAGTATGTTTTCCTTCCAAAGTGATGTTTCCCCACTAAAGCCAGTTGGACACTTCATTGGGCAGGGGTCCCTATATTGCCAGTTTTTTGCTTTTAATCATCACCTTTTTTTGGCCCATGAAAGGTGAGTATATATCCCTTGCGGGGTGATGTGTTCACTTAAAACAAATAATATCCCTTTAAGGCATTTCCCCCCCCCCACCACCAAGGGACATATAATGAGATATATATATATATATTACATATATATATATATGTGTGTGTGTGCGTGCGTATTAAAACAAAGCAAGCTCACATGTGTGGCAGTTTACATATACATGTAAAAAAATCCATCCCCTGTAAAAAATATCACCCTTAAGGAATATATATTAGGGGTGTGCTCTACCACGTTTTCTTTATCATATATTTTACTCTTATTTTCTCTAAGTTTTACTCTTATGTTCTCTACATTTTACTCTTATTTTCTCTAATTTTTACTCTTATTTTCTCTACATTTTATTCCTATTGTCTGTATTTTTTACGCTTATTTTCTGTAAATTTTGCTCTTATTTTTCTCTAATGGTTACTCTTATTTTCTTGAAATATGACCCTTCTTTTCCTTATTGTTTTACGAATATGTTTTCTATATTGTGTGCTTATGTTCTCTAAATGTTCGTCTGGTTTCCCCATAATTTACTCTTATTTTCTCTTGATTGTACCATTGTTCATTCAATGTTCCTCTTGTTTTCTCTTAATTTGGGCTGTTAGTTTCGTCTATGTTTACTCTTACTTCTTGTCCTAATTTAGTTGCGTTTCTCAAAAGCTCACTCTTCTTCCACAGCTTCAACTCGCGTTGTCCGACCCCAGCCTATTCTCCAATGTAAGCTCTTGCTTGCGTCAAAGTTGATTCTGCTTTCCAAGTTTAACCCTTCCTGGTTCCAAACAAATACTTTTTGAGTCAAAGCTATCCTGCAAGGTTGGAGCCAACGAGACCGGACACAATCAGAATCGCAGTGGTACAACGAGCCACCACTTTGTCGGTGCTCATGTCTCCAAGCCGGCGAAATAGAATTCGAGCATCTTCCATTTGATTGGTTTCAAAATAGCAGACCTCCGAACAAACAGGGGACCTCCCCCTTTAACCTTTGACCAAACCCAAAAAGGGTACCCTCAAAAAGACGCACCCGCTTACCGAACATGCAACATGTGACATGTGTGTTTGCATGTGTTTGCCACGAGTCACAGATGCCACAGCACGTTTCGAGAATCTGGATCCGTTCAAGTCGCGGCTTCAACCGCTTAGCCACGTTACTCGGTTGCAAAAGCAGCTGCATAGTCCACAAACATCCCCAACCGTCGAACAAACGTGGTCAGTCCAGAGTGGGGGGGGGGCTTACCAGAAGAAGGGGGGCCTTGCCTAACAGATGCAGCGCGGCCACCAGCCACATTTTTTCAATCGAGCCGATTGAAAAGGTAAGATTCTTGATGGCCCATCTCCCACAAGCGCATCAAGCTGCGTGACTGGGATTAGACAGTGGCAGCGCCAGCAACCTGACAGGTGGCACAACTTGCGTTGCTGCCTTGGAAATTTGGCAACACGCAACAGCAACGGTGTGATGCAAACGAACTGCCTTGCTATGGACAAAAAACGCTGCAACCCTGTTATACTGCTTTGACCAGGCTGAAGCTGCTAACCGCCAAGCGCTTTGACAATTCTGTACATCACCGTCCCGTGTGGAACAGTTTAAGCGCTTTTGCCATAGCACCGTGCACCCCTACCTCCCAGCAACTTGCATAGCACGTTGCCGAAGCTTGGGATCACAAATCATCTCCCTCTTGTCCATCAAGGAACAACACTTGGAAACCAACCCCACCCTAGTCTCGCCAGGAAAAAGATCCCGCGTCATGGCCTGCGCCAAAGTCATTGATGCAATCAGACCCGTGCAATCCGACATCACTGGGCGCTGCGGATCTTGCGGTTTCTGAGTCTTGGATGTCCGGGCACTTCTAAATGCAGTCAGGTCTGAGGCCAAAGCAGCATGCAGGGTCCAAAGGTCAGCGCTGAGCAAGCCTGGCGGTAGCTTCCCAACTTCCTCCAAGCACGTTCCCAGGTCGCGCAAACACTTGTTGGCCTTGGTCACACTGCACACCAAGGACTGCATTGCCTCATCGTTGCACAAGCCAACAATGCGCCCCTTGTCCAACTTGTCCTGCTGAAAGATGTCCGGAATGCTGTGGCGGCCGGCGATGTCCGTGTACATGGCGGTGAAGCCTGGGCTGGTCTTGACCGCTGCAAAAGGTTAGTCAATAATAGTCTAATAGTCTTTCTGCTGGTCAGGGCGGAAACAAACGTTCCCAAAAGTTTTGGTTTTAGGGCTTTAGACTTTAGGCTTGCTTCAAAGTTAAAAGGAAGCCCGCAGAGCTGCCAAGGAGCACGTGATGATGGAATTTAGCTCCGCGCTGCACTGCATCACGATCTCTCCAAACCTAGCCTGGATGCTCTTGTTCACCTGCTCGTAAAGATTGCTACAGCCTGGGCTGGATCCAGCTTGCTTATCAATGGTCTTCAGCATGCTGTCACATCGCGCTGCTGCCGTCCCCATGCCAGAAAGAAACGCAACCAAGACATTCAGGGCTGTGACCTTGGAAACGGGCACAAAGGTTGTGTTCTTGTCCTTGGCAGCTTTGCAAATGTCCTGCACAAGCTCCCCGAAGCACGGGTTGCTGACTGCCAAAGCAATTTTCTCCTGGTGCAGCAAAGCATAGCGGCAAAGCTGAAGCAAAGCGCCGGCTGCGCACAGAAAGCTGACAGACACCTTCTTAGAGACAGGTGCTCCGTCCGTGCCCAGCATGCTCAAGGTGGCTTCGTTGTTCGGCACGTGGGTTAAGAAGGAGACGTAAAAGGTTGCAAAGTCGAAATCCTTCACGTTCTCAAAGTCGTCCTCCGCAATGGCGCCGACAACATCTGCGCTGAGCAAGCGCCCCAAGTCAACCTCTGGAGGGAAGGAGGCAAAGCCGCTGAAGGTTGCTGCGGTCTTCTCCAGCCACATGCGCACGGCCACAGTCATAGCCTTGGACACTCCCGCGACACCGTCCTGGATGAACGGAGCAATTCTCAGCGTCTGCTTCAGCCAGTCAAGGTCATGAAGGTAGGAGAACAGGCCGACAACAGGCTGGCTAAGAAGCAGCTGTTCCCCACATTCATCGCTTGTCATCTGTAGCAAGGGGAAGAACGCCTGGTGTAGAAGTTCAAAAAGCTTCACCACGTTGGCCACGGCCGCTTCGGTGTCCGCAGCCATAGACTTGCCAAGAAGCTTGGGAAGTGGCAGTTTGCTCAGTGGCTGGTAGTTGCAGCCAGCGCCAAGCAGCTGGCCAAGTTGCAAGGAATCTTCATGCGAAAGGCCACCTCGCGCGGCACGCAGCAGGAGAGGCCCCACCTCGGCAAACCTTTTGGCGTACTTGGTAGAAACCGCGGAAAGGAGCACATCCTTGAACTCCAGCACGCGCTTTTGCACGCTGTCAATCTTGGAAGCTGCTGCTTTCTGCAATTCGTCCGACGCATCATCTAGAGCCAGGCATTTGGACACCATGTCGCCCAAATGCGTCTTGAGCTGGTTGGAGAGAACGATCTCAAGATCCCCATCCTTTTCCTTCAGCAAGCTGTCGGCGGTGACAGGCTTGAAGTTGGCAGCAAGTTCAGCCGCATCATCAATCTCTGCTTGCAAAAGAATATTTTTCCGCACCTGGCAGGCAATCGCGAACGACGAGTCAAGGAAAAAACATTAGTCATGAGCCAAGAATCATTTGCCATGAAGCAGGTCATCAAGTCACCGGAAATAAAAAGGTTCAACTGGGCCATGGGGCTATGGGGGTGGCCACAGCCGTGGCTACTGCTCATGGTTGAACAATCGTCAATCGTATCCTCATGTAAAGTGCATGATGTTTCCTCAATGCGCAGCACTGCGCTGCGTTGGTAGACACGTTGCCACGCATGAGTTGTTTCCAATGTCGGCAAGCAAAGTAATCTGAGCCCCTTTCTGTTACCCCAAAAAGAAGCAAACACAGCCCTCTTTGAAATAGTGGCG